AAAAAAAAAAAAAAAAAAAAAAAAAAAAAAAAAAAAAAAAAAAAGAAGTAAAATGCTAGAGACAATTTTGAAAATGGTTTGTTCTATACATTTAAAGAAATTAGTGATGTGTACTTTCAGTTTTTCATTCTTCAAGCCTTGGCACACTGAATTTTAGCCACAGCATCCCCTTGGTGATTATAAGATACTTCCCTTTATCTCCTTCTGTTCTATTCTTTGTGTTCTGTTCTTTCCTAAAATTGGGGAGTGAATATCAGGCAGACATCAGGTGGCAAAACTCCGTGATATTTACTCTGGAAAGAGAACAACATGACTTGTCATTCACCCTTCCTACCTCCCTTGCTCATTGTCATCTTAGACAAAAGATCAATAAAGCAGAAATAGATATCCCTAAGGAGTCTACGATATCAGCAGGTTGGTGTAAAGAGACGTAAGTCTGAGAGGGGAAGAGGCAGGGTTTTGAGATATGAGAACACCATTTAGATTCCTGGAGGATACCAGAGGAGACAGGGTCTTCTAGCAGAGTGGGCCATTCACCAAACTTGTGGTAAAGAGTGACAATGAATTTGGTTACTTGTTAAAGATGAGGGACACTAAGTGTGATTGAGTCTGATTTCTGAGCAGGTCACATGGACTTTACTCTGCTCCTTTTTTCCCCACAGCCTTGCAGTCAGCATTTGGCCCTGCAGCTCGGAGAATCCTGGCGGTGGCTCACTCTCACAGCCCCCTGGGCCAAATGCCCTCCTCTCTGGACACCCTCCCAGGGCATGAAGAGGCTCTTCACATGACTCGCTTTACAGTGGCAAGGTGTGGGCAGAAAGCACCTGATCCACCACCAGTGCCAGGAGAAAAGCAGCTGCCTGCAGTGGAGAAGGGGTCTCCTCCAATAGAGCACTCTTCACACTGATGGGCACTTTGTTCTTCTAAGTGGAGTCTGGGGCATCCACAGACAAATGGAACATCTTCTTTTCTGACTCTCAGAAGGTTCAGGATGGCATCTAAATGTCATTTTGTGGGAAAGATCGGTTCTGACTCTTCATTCCCAGCCACATATATTTTCTGATACCAAGTGCTCTAATTAGGAACTCTAATTCTTTATCCAGTAGCCAAACTTTGCCACTAATCTCTAGTCATGTTGATTACTACCAAACCAGTAAAGCATCAAGTATCTTGAATTCCTTCGACTCTGGAGTGCATGTAAAATTCCTTTACCTGTATGGTCCTGTGAGTTGCTTTTCTCTTTGCCGACTACCAGACTGTGGTAAACTTGAGAAAGACGACAGCATGAACACAGTCATGGACGGAATGCACTGGATCTAATAACCACCTAGACATCTAGAATCCAGGGGTGGGATCGCTGGTATAGGCTAAGAGAACACTGCATAGTATTGAAGTGCCAAATATCCAAGTCTTCCTTTCACTCGGGTCCTACCCATCAACAGTATGAAAAACCACATACAGTGCAGTAACACTTCTATTCCTCTGCCCACAAATACATACACATGCACACACATGCACATACAACTTTTTTTACTCTAAAGGAATAGCATTTGTCACTTTGCTTCTTTCCTCCTTCATGCTCCCACAACTTAAAGCCACAACCCATGTATAGTGACACACACTGGTCTCTAGTAGTGGCCCTCACTGCCACCTAGTGGAGTCATGGCAGAAAATACATTCTCTCCTTTGGACCCATCTGCCTCTCTCTCCAGTTCTTAGAAAACTAAGTGCTGAACTAAGCCTGGATGGGATCCTGCCGTGGCACCGTCCTGCCGTGTGCCTGAGCTATCCATATAACATACTACTCCCCCACAGCACCCATATGGGAAAGTCCAAGAAGCAAATGTATTTGGGGAAAAGCTACTGGCATTAAATAAGTGAAAGAAATCTTTGAAGTGTTTTTTTCATCTGTAAACTAAGGCATAATAATACCTCACAGGATTGTTTTAAGGATTGAAGAAGCTAAATATATGCGACATGATTTTTAAAGCATTATGCACATGGACTTTTTTATTATTCTTATTATTGTCCTCTAATCTTTGCTGCCTGTTATATGATTCCACTGAGGGTTCTGTCCTGGTTTGTCTTTCTGCCAGTCCACTATGCTACTGTTAATTTACATCTGAAGTGGCTTTTTCCGGGAGCGCCGCCGCACTCCCAAGCGGCACACTGTAGCAGTGCACCACTGGGCCGGCCCCTGAAGTGGCTTTTTTGAAACTGCGTCTGCTGTACGGCCATAATCAATAAATATTTGTTGTTTGAGGTAAACCACTAAAGATATAAGTGATTCCTCATGATATGTTCTGTTAGAGGTAAGGAACATTTGAGGAGACTAGTCATCTGCTAGGCATCTGGCTCCAGTGCTTGCTCGGAGAGGCCGTAAGCAGCCAGGGATTGGCTGATGGGAGCAGCACCTCATAAATACATTCCTGGGATGCTCAATCAGCCTGGAGGGAAAAATACTCTAAGCGAGCATAACCTGCTGGTGATCTGAATTCGTCCTGAATCACATATCAAATTGCCTCTGGAAATTGTTGAAATGCATGAGTTGTTAATAGCACCTGAGGTGACCTTCTTTTACCACTGCCAGATGAATCATTCAGTCATCACACATTCCATAAGATATTCTAGGCTCCTCTGTCCTTCAAGACACCACAGACTTGAGGAAGTTAAAAAGTTGATGGGCATTAAAGGGTCTTGGGAGATCTTAAGCTAAAGAAATCTCTCTACCCCATACCCCTTCCCCAACCCTCACCACATTATCTGAAGTATGAAATCGCTTCCATCCGTCTATCCTACTTTATCCTATGTCTCCATCCTCCAGTGTGTCTTTTCATGTGTGCTTCACACACACAGTCTTATCACTACTCCTCAGCCACATGGAGTCTTTCAGTCCTGTGCTCTCCCATTTTGTCACATGCTATTCGTACCCTTTTGGCTTCACTTCATTCTCTACTCAGTCTAAGACATCTGTTAATCACCCCAATCACTTCCACTATTGTTATGAACTTTTTAATCCCTTTTAATTTATTCACACTTACTATTCCACTTTAAACGCTGTTTCAGTGAAGCTAACTGATTTCTCCCTGATGACTACACTGCTGAGCAGTGCTCGAGAAAATCTCTCAACTCTATTGATTCAGGTCAATATAAGGTTATGGTCTCCAACACCACCTGAATCATTTAACATTCCTTCTAGATTTCCTCAGGTAATTTCGTTTTAGTAGGTATTCAAATTTCAGTGGCTCTCTTAATACTCCACATTCCATTACCAACTCATTGATACTGGGCAGGGGACTTGTTCTCAGAGTTCAGAGTGCAAATCAAAATCTTCAGGAACTCCGTGCCCCAAAGCTACAAACCTCTATAGGTCTATACCTATCCTTTCCTCCTTCCTTCCAGTCTTGTTGAAATAGGTGTCCCTTCTCATCCCCAGTCATAATACTTCTAATTGTGCTTCATATTACATTGATTCAACAGTCTCTTTGTTCAGCAAGTATTATTTAAGAAATCATGTGCCAAGAATAGTGCAGAGTGTACAACACTGGCGGAGTCTCTGACTCTCGGTCCTCGCAGAGCTTACATTCTAAGGAGGGAAAATATATTAAGAAAAAGCAAAAATAAAATGAGAGCAAGCTTTAAAAGTGCAAAGAACTAAGCAAAGGCTGAGATAGGGAACAATAGATAGGAGGGGTAGAGGAAAGGTAGAGTGACGGAAAAGCATTTTTGAAGATGAGAAAGAGTTTGGTAAATTTGAGAAACAGAGAAAAGACTAGAGTCGCTGATTGTAATGAGCAAAGGAGA